GTCGTCGTCGTCGTCGTCGTCGTAGTAGTAGTAGTAGTAGTAGTAGTAGTAGTATTAGTAGTAGTAGGAGTAGTAGTAGTAGTAATTGTAGAAGTAGTCGTAGCAGTAGTGTGCTGGTGGCAGTAGTAGTCGCATTATTACTAGTAGCATCACTATTAGTAGCCCCAGTAATAACACAATTGGTAATTCTATCCCAAGTAATCATAATCGTATTGCCACTTATCGGTGCCATTCGGAGTAGTAGTACAACGGGTAATACTGTGACTCGTAGTACGATTAGTAGTCGTACAACGGATGATACTATGACTGCGGCTACTACTACTACTACCACCACCACTACTACTACCACTGCTACCACTACCACTACTGCTACTGCTGCTGCTACTACTACTACTACTACTAATAATGCCAATACAGCTCATATGGTTACTGTTACTCATCGTGCCAGTACTACTACTAATAACGGTGACAAAGTTCACCATCGCAATCACAATAATCATGAACATCGTAATCGTTTCATCACTAATATGAACCAGATGAGGCGGAGGAGAGGGGAAGGACGACGTTGAGGAGGAGGATGATGAGGAGGAGGAGGAAGAGGAGGAGGAGGAGGAATACGTGGAGGAGGAGGAGAGGATGAGGATGAGGATGAGGATGGTGATGAGGAAGAGGAGGATGAAGAGGAGGAGGAGGAAGAGGAGGAGGAGGAGGAGGAGGAGGAACACGATGAGGAGGAGGTGGAGGAGGAGGACGAAAGAGGGGGGAGGGAGGCTGGATGCTGGATGCTGGAGGGAGGAGGGAGGAGGGAGTTGGGAAGAGGGAGGAGGGAAGAGAGAGGAGGGGCGAGGAGGAGGGAGGATGGATGATGGAGGACGGAAGGGGGAGGGAAAGGGGAGGAGGGGGGGGGGAGTGAGGGAGTGAGGGAGGAGTGAGGGGGGGAGAGAGGCATTCAGCTGGATTCTGCTGGATACGAACGAACACGACGCCCCATGGAATCGTGGCGCGGGCCTCGTGGCCGCATCGGGCCGCCCCCGGGCCGAGTCAGAAAATAGTGCCTTCTGAGGGCCAGCCACCAAAGGGGCTTCCCACTGGTGGGATGTGTACCCTCCCAGAGACGATTGAGCCTACCCCCGATCACCCATTGGGCCCCAGGGTGACATGGGGAAACCCGACCACCTGTCGCGGGCGCACCTGGCACACCTACGACAGAAAACATACGTTCGGCGGAACACGAGTTTGTGCCCCGCCACTCTAGTTTTGTCGACCCTGACAGCCACCAATCCAGAACGGTCTGAGGAGGGGGGGTGGCCATCAGGGGTGCGGGAGGGGGCTCCACGGCCCCTTCGCCCGCGCCGCCAGCCGTCCCAGGAGGCCCAGGGGGGGTCCAGGAACTCCAAGGCGGGGTCGGGTGGGTTCGATTCGTTCCGTCGGCGGACTCGAGCCCTTTTCAGTGTTGACGATATCACTACCTAGGACACCGACATACGCTGCGAATTCGAGGATGTCTCGCACGAGCTTATAGGGAGGGAGGGAATGGAGGGAAGGAAGAGGAGGAGGAGGAGAAGGAGGAGGAGGAGGGATGACGAGGGGCAGGAGGAGGGGGAGGAAGAGGAGGAGGAGGAACCATGATTGCAGTGATAAGACGGATCTTACTATTATACGGAAGCACGAAAAGTCTTGATAATAACACTGCGGGCCGTATGAATAATCATCGTACAGCCGCTGACATGCGGCAGGTGATGAAAAACAGAGGGTCCTCGCCGTCGTGGAGAAGCCTCGGCCAACGTGGAGGATCTAATGAGGCTCTCGAGTCTTGGCCTCAACGTCGACCAGAATGGAGTCCCTCGCAAGACGGCAGTCCCTAGAAGTCATTTCCGGAGTCCCGTCGCGCCCCGCTGGTCTCCACGGAGACCTCCCATACCGGAGTGCTCGCGGTGCGCGCGGTCGCAGTGCCCTTGTTCGGGTCGGGCCCCGCCAGCCCACGTCGAGATCTAAAGCGGAATGGTAAAGCGCCGGTCGGGCTGCTCATAAGCACTTTAAGAACGCGCTGTAAGAGCTTTATGGGCATATCGCTAATACGAAAACCAAAGCGCTACTAGCGTAACAACAATATGTGTTATCTCACCATGACAACACATAATTGTTTTAGCCGGAGTAGGGTGGGCAGAACGGTCATTCATTGCTTTTGGGTGCGTGGCAGAAGTGGCGTTCCCTCCGGTGGATCCTGCTTGTTGTTGAGTTGTTGTCGTTGCTGCTTCTGCTGCTGCTGCTGTGGCTGCTGTTCCTGCTGCTGCTGCTGCTGCTGCTGCTGTTGCTGTTGCTGTTGCTGTTGCTGTTGCTGTTGTTGTTGCTGTTGCTGTTGTTGTTGTTGTGGTTGTTGTTCATTGATATTGCTGTTGTTGTTGTTGCTGTTGTTGCTGTTGTTGTTGTGGTTTGTTGATATTGCTGTTGTTGTTGATGTTGTTGTTGAGTTTTGATTTCGCCAGAATATATATATATATAAAAATATAAATGTATGTTGATCCCCCAGCGCGGCAATCATTGTATTTTGGATTGACGTCCTTCTCCAGGGGCTCGCACCCTGTTTTTTTACAAGGGAACCCCG